AGGAATCACCGCAGTATATCCATTTGACAATATTCAGCATTAACTTATAATTAAAAATAAGACATTTAAAAACAAAAGGGAATGTGCTCATATAAAGGTTTTTAAATGAGATTTTAAAAATGAGAGAGGGAGAGAGGGGGCATTCCACATCAGCATGTCTGTACTTGGCATGTGAGGTCCTGGATATGGCCCTCAGCACCATCAAAAAGAGAGTGGAGCATTGCAGCTGCAGCAAAGACAGACGGGAGAGGGAGTGGGAGAGGAAAATCGAGGGCAACCACAGTGGAATAAACTGATGTACATGTGCTCCTGCGCGCATGTGCAAGCGCTCACGCTTGTGCGCACATACACACACTTAATGAGATATTTGCTGCCCGGTGTCACCCAATCAAGAATGAGGCTCTACTCCTTTAAACTCCACAAAACCACCTAAATTACGCTATATCAAACCAGATTTTAACACTCTCACTAATGTAACTTATCTACAAGAGTAAGTCAACCGAAGTCTTTAGTAACAAATGTCCTTGAACTATTTGTCAGAGACCGATACGGCTCTAAAGGATATAGAACTCTGTCAAAGAATGTCTAGATTGTGTTACGTTCTACATTCATTTTCTGAATTTAATCATTTAAACATTTATTAGTTTTATTTAAGTTAAAGAACTCCTTAGAAAAATTATCTTTCAATTCTACAGGAATCTTCAAACAAAATCACCATTGGCGCTATTTTAAGAGTCTAGAATTTAAACCAAGTTTCTCCTTCCTTATCCACTTCACAGTCCTGTTACACATACATTTTCTGCATAGAACATACAGAATTGTTGGCCTCCTTTTTGGTGCGAGTTAGAGCCCAAGGCTTGCTTCTGCAAGCCAATGAACTCTAGCTATCCCAGACAATACAAGCCTGGTCCTCACCTTGTTGACTATAAACACACTCAATGGGATTTGGTTACCCGTTAAATATGTTCAAATACTCAACTGCCATTCCTTTAGACTTTGAAATACCCACTTTCAGATATTCTATGCATAACCAAGTTATCATTACTTACATTAAAATTAAACATTTTAAGAAACGTCAAGAGTTTTTCATAATGCAAGTAAGAGCTGAACACTGCGGAGAGTTGTGAGTGTGTGCCCCACTCCTCCCAGGTAGTAAGCTGAACCGAATGTAAGGCAGGTGGCCCAACATTCCAGTCTCTTTTCAAGCACCTTAAAAGGAAGTGTATCTACCATACAGGCTTTGCTGACAATTAAATGATTTGGCTAATTAATAACATTAATTAATTAATTAAGCTAGGCAAAGTGGAATACTTTGGTAATCCTAGCACATGGGAGGCCGAGGCAGGAGGATCACAAGTCTGAGGCCAGCATGAGGTACACAGTCAGCTCCTCTCCAACCTTGGCTACAGAGTGAGGTTTCACCAGAGTGAGACTCCACCAACACAAAACTAAAAGCACTTAGAATGTACCAAGTGCTCAACATCATTATCCTTGCTGGTCTATTTATGCTGAGCATTTTTATCATCTGAGACAAATTAAATAGCATTGGTGTGTGTGGGGGGGGGTTGAAAATTCAGTGCAAATAACAGTAATAAAATGTCTCCACCAGAGGGCCTAGGCCCTCCTCCAAATGATATGACAGACTTTGATGGTCCCCATGGAGGGCCTCACTATCCCTGGGGAGGAAGTGGTGGTGGGTTGGGGAGTCTTGGTGGGGAACATGGGAGGATGGGAGGATGAGGGAATGGGGAGATGGGTATGTAAATATGAGAGCCTCTAAAATTAAAAAAAAAAAAAGTCTCCACCAAAAGAGCCACTAACTTCACTAACTTCAGTAATACTAACCGACAATGTTGCCAGAAGACAATAGGTAACTACCTTCCTTACCCACAAGGGAGCACACTACAGCCATTTACAGAATTTTCATAGTTGAGTCCAGCCATATCCGTGCAAGCCAATCAGCAATCTGCTTTGAGAAATCTATTTTGCATAAGCAAAGCTCAGTAGGAACAATATACTACATGAGAGAAAGCATGTTCAGTGCAAACAAGGCTCCATGCTGTATGAGCAGAAGGTCTTCGTGAAGCCCACTGTGAGCACTGTCATCTGGACAGTCTGGAAAATAAACGCTCCTCTTGATGGCAGCCACACTAGCCACAGAACAACTGCAACTCATTTACAGAAAAACTGTTTCTATTTCACGGCAGATATTGAAACAACTGCGTGATGTGATAGATTAGTTTCTTTAATGAAAAAGAAGAGTTTAAAAACAGAATATTTCAAGCCCTTGCTTTACATATTCAGATACAAGAACTCTGGAGAAATGTTAACAACATTTTTCTATAGAAATCTGCATGTAAATAGCCAGAGAAATATGTCTCTATGGCTTGTAATTTCTTCTCAATTTTTGATAAGTTCTTTTCAAGGAGAGACTGATGAGCCTCTTCTTTAAGTGAGAAGTTTTTTTTTTTTCTGTGTTCCGCTACCCTCCACCCACTCTTTCATTGTCTTTCTAATAACAACAGAGCAAGATCAGAGCCATGAAACAAAGGGAAGCTGTTTTATCTTAGCTTATAATCTTCCTGCTCAAAAACTCAAGAATGTAAATGGTTGTTCAGGAGCTACATACAAATTCAGCCAATCAGCAGCCAGCATTCTGATTTCTGCCCAGCAACAGGAGACAGACAATAAGGTCAGAGAAGCATAGCTAATAAAGCCCGATCTGAAATACTGCAATGTGGCTCTTTGTCTGAAATAATAATCTAGAACACAGATTTCATGTCTTAAATCCATGGTATGTATTAAATATATAACACACATAAGTAAGTGAATAAGATTTACATCTTTTA